AGCTGCTTGGCAATTGCCCTGTAGCCCTTTCCAGCCTTGTGGAGGTCCACACTTTTGTCTCTGGTGTCTTTTGACAGCTCTTTGGTCTTGCCCATGGTAGTAGTTGGCGTCTGACTGACTGTGGGGTGGACAGGTGTCTTTAAAGAGTTCAGACAGGTGCTACTAATTTAGATTAATGAGTGGAGTAGAGGTGGACTTTTTCAAGGCACAGTAACAGGTCTTTGAGAGCCAGAATTCTTGCTGTTTCTCAGGTGTTCAAATACTTATGTTCAGCAGTGCAAGACAAATAAATTCTTTAAAAATCATACAATGTGATTTCCTGAATTTTTTTTTTAATTCTGTCTCTCAGAGTGGGAATGCACCTACAATGTGAATTTCAGACCCCTCCATGATTTCTAAGTGGGAGAACTTGCAAAATCGCAGGGTGTTCAAATACTTCTGTTCCTCACTGTAAGCATAAAAAAAGGGAAAAGAATCCCAGCACTAATGTACCAAAGCACTGCAATCATTTCCAGCCCTTCACACATATTGTGCGCGCATACACACACACACACACACACACACACACACCAAACATATAATTGCTGTACTTGGGCCACAAGCTTCCTGCTGTGCTGGATTCAAGTCATCATATTCACAGAGGAGACAGGAGAGGGGGCCATGAATGAGTCTGACGCTAAAAAGAAAACTCAGCAGGCTTCAGAGACTGTTCTGACCTGCTGCTACCTTTTACCATGGTGCTGGGAGTCACCACAAAGGTCTCAAAACAAAATAACACTGGGGTGGTTGTTGAAGCATGTGCCATGAAGAAGCTGGCTCTTCTCTCTGTTAATGTCAGTACAATTAGAAGAAATCACTTTTGTGTATCAGATCGCAGTCAGGTTCTATTTTGAAGTTGTTGCTAAACCATATTTTTTGGCATGGAGGGTCTTTGTTCCTCTCACTGATGTTACACCTACATTGATGGTTCCAGAAGTCTTGTCTCATCTAAGCACTGGGGTTAAACGTGGCACACAGGAAGAGCGCATCAACACAAGGGTCATAACACAAGATCACTGGTAACCTGTAATCACTGGTAATTGTTGTCCCACGCTCCCAAACCTGCACAGGACAAACTGGGTCATTATCAAAAATGGTATTTTTGCTGGCAGTCTTGTAAAGCATGCTGTCCAACAAGCCTCATTACAGCCCGGTTATATGATATATGATGTACTGTGAGATGATTACATATAATAAATGACCACTTTGGTTTCCTAGTCCTGTCTGATGAAAGCATTTCATTTTGGTATAGTGGGTGAATTCAGGAAGTTTGGATTCTTTTACATACAGTAAAAGTGTTATGTAGCTAGTTTGCCAGTACTTTGAGGTGTACATGTTAAGGTGTTAATCCCTTAACATCCAGTTTCATATACTTTCTCATTTGTTCAAATCATCTTATTTTACTCCGTTTCACAGTATCATATATATATTCTCCATCATTCCAGCTCTTCATTGAAACTATATGATGTTTACACTGAGTAAAATATTCAAACCTAACATTCCAGGTTTTATACACACACTCATACAAAACTCACTATAACTGGCATCTTTGGAAACACTGGGATCTTTAAGTATTTAATTAAACTGAGAGTACCGAGCCCTATTCTCACAGTTTTTCTTGGAATAGCAGCGCTGTGAGATCATTCAGGTTAAGCATTCAGCAGGCAGGGAGATGATGTCTTCTTACCCCTGGGGGCAGTTCAGGGCCTTTGACTGCTCTGCAGTTGGGCGACTGTAGCAGCTGTAACAGCTACGGCCGGTGGCAGAGGTCACCAGAGGCCATCAGGCTCCAGCCCACTGGCAGCTACAAGAGTCTCCCTTTAATACCACAAAAGGTGGCATGTCTCTCTTTTTTTTTTAGAAAAGCAAATAGCCCACAACAGGAAAATGAAATATTTGCCATGCTAAAAGGGTGAGCTGGGGACATACGCAGCAGCCTGAGTGAGGGGAACAGTTGGTGACTGTGGAGCCTCTTCTAACAAACCCAAAGGCAGCGTTATGCTAGAGGCTGTCTGCATTTATTTATTTTCACTAACATCAACAAGTACCTCCACGCCACATAACACACATGTGAGGGTGCTTGCACACTTATATATACACACAAAGATCCAGATACTAATGTGCATGTGTATAAACTGACTGTTCCATAAGGAACGCTCCAGCTCTGCCTCTCCTCACCTGTGGTAAGATCAACATGAGCGCCCGCAGCCTTGCTGTGCTACCTTGTACTCAGTTCATAGAGATGTCAACACGCCAGGAGACGCGGAGCAACACAGGGAAGCCGAAAAAGATCCGCTCAAAGATCCACCAGAGCTTCAGTTTCTGCTTTGTTGTGAGAGGAGAACACAATGTGGCATTTTCCTCCAAACAGCTGTTACAGAAATCCTAATTCTTTGCAGAGCAGATGAGTCATGGTTTTACAGCTGGGTGAGGATCTGTGCGTAAAGCCATATCTACGCTCATGTCTAGACAAGTGTGTGAGCTTTTATGAGGAGATCACATCAGCTCTCAGGCTGGCTCTGGTGATTCAGAAAACACTGACAAACCATGTACTGTATCTGCAGACAGAAACAGGCCCATTTAACTTTCCACCGCTTCTGAGCGACAGAAGCTGTGTGTCATCACCCGGGAATTTGGAGCTGGTCTGCAGTCAGCGGCAGTGGAAGTCGACTGGATCTCAGGTTTATGTGAGCAGATGGTGCCAGCTTCACAGCTGAGCTCCAACTAGGTTAAAACGTTACTCTCTTATTAAAGAAAAATGCTGAATTAGATTCAGCCTGAGTGAAAAACTAATATGTAGTCATGGCTGTATGACAGTTCCTCTTTAAGCCACTGAAACGCTAAGTATCCATCCTGCAGTAAGCGTCCTGAAGTTGAACCTGACTGCAGAACGACTATGTCCCTACATGAACCATGTTCAACTTATGTTTGTAAAGCTCATGTTCCACTCATAGTGGGCATGCAAAGAGACCAGGAGACGTTACAGACATTCCTGTTGTAAAAAACAAACATCTGCAGATATTAATAGATACAGGATCAGTGCACAAAAAGGGGGGGTGGGGGAGTCCAGTTCATTCTAAATAAGGAGCTTGGAATAAAAATATCATGTGTTCATAATGATACATTCACATCCAAAACTGATGGAAAATAATTCTTGGTACTGTATGTGAATCTGCAGTTCCCTTAGACGGTTCCCACACTCAGTCATCAACATCGTCCCAGCCAAAAGACAAACCTCATGGGAAATGTTGTTCTGGAAATTTGTAACAAATACTTCTAATGTGTAGAGTAAGAAATATTGTCACTGTAAGAGCGCTGGAAACACTCGCAAGTAAATCTTGAGTTGAGTACTCGACTTTATCGAGCCGTTGCCACCTCTAAGGATGTGAGATGAAGCAGGAAAGCTGGAGCCTCCAAAACAGAAAAACCCACAAACATTTGCTCCAAAATAACAGTGCACACAGAGGAGAAATAAAAAGACATGCGTACACGGATACACAGACATGTAATGTTTCTGCTGTTCTCTCCTTAATAACTTTTAAAGAGCTACAGTTTACTGCATTATTGTATTGGCTGTGTTGACATATACAGTATAAAGACAGCAGTATATTATTGTTTTAATGTACTCTTGCTTTAGTCACTTTTATATATGTTTTTGTGTATTCTTTATTTGAAAATTGTGATTCCATGTATGTTTACAGGCCAACATGCTTAACTGTTACTCTCAGTTATGATCATAAAATGTATTGTTCAAATGTAAATAGTAAATACTGTCAATATAGGAAGTTCAACCTGCATACAGGAGCTGCTGATACATATCTACAGAGGAATCAAGTGTGTTCTCAGCTTCCATCACTGTCCTGTTTGGCTCAGCAGCCAAACAGGACAGGAACACACCCCAGTGGACAGTCAGGACTGCAGAAAGAGTCACTGGTGCCAGCCTGCCCTCAACGGAAGACCTGTATACCTCACAGGTCAAAAGGAGGGTGGAGAAGATTTCTGCAGACTCCTCACACCCTGGACACAAAGTGTCTTTAGTCCTTCCCTCTGGACAGCGTTACAGGTCACTGTACGCCAAAGCAACCAGACACAAAGGCAGTTTCTTCCCCTGGGACATCACTCTGATGAACATTTAACCCATGACTGCATAATAGAACAACAACCCTCAGTGTAATACCTGTAAATATACTTTTGTATCTATCCATCTGAAAAACTGCACCTAAACTGTTTCTACTGTATATATAAGTACTTTACTTTCCTAATCCACGTTCCTTTTTGTTGTTTGCACACTTTTTTTGTTCTCTCAGTCTTGTCTACTTGTTGCCTTAACACTGTACCAGAGTCAAATTCCTCATGTGTTCATCACACCTGTTCAATAAATATAAATAAAGCTGATTCTAATACTGTGTAAACAATTCAAATCATCTGTTTTGTAACAAATGCTATGTCCCATGTGGTTGTCCCATGTGGCTGGTACATATGTACATGTCATCTTTATAAGTGAACTAAACTGGAAACACAACTCAGTTTCACACCTGCCAGCCTGTCTTGCTCACATGTGCAGCAATTCAGAACCCCCCCTCTGACCTCTCATTGCTCTGCATCATGTTGCTGCGCAGCAGCAGCAGCTGATGGAGGATGTAACAGCCGGTCAAGTGAAAGACAGCCGCTAAAG